GCCTTGAGAAGGATAAAGCACGTACGCAACTCTCAAGAGAGGGTCAAATGGCCGGTCACGTTCAACGGTCAGCTGACCGGCGGTCATTCCAGCTGCTGCAGGCTGCAGTCAAATGTCAAAATGCTTATTTAATGGGACTTAGCGCTCATTCAACGTCCCTGGTGCAATTCGAAAATAATCATCAGCCACAAAGCCCACTTAAAGCTATATACCGAGCGAATTTGCGGATGTGGGTCAAGCACTTAAGTCGGCAACTTATTCCACTGCACGCTCTTTATCTCCATTTTGGAAAACGAGCCAATATCTATTCCCGTCCGCACTTTAACTTCAAAATTGAAAGAAACTTTTGGTCGGCGAGAAAGTTAATTTTTCAAAGGGATGTGCAAATTGGACCTGTTCTGTTTGCATAATCATCCGGGGAATGAGGGTTTGTTTTCGTACGGGCGCGTTTTATGGGTTTGGGATCGAAAAAGTGCCAAAATAACTGAGAATATGCGATTTATTTTAACATAAATCGACCACAAGTGTGTCTCTGGCTGCGCTTGTCTGCAAATGTTGTAAGACATTATAAAAGTTACTTTTTCCAAGCGAAGTTTATAGAAGCACTGCTGAATTTATGTCGACTGACGATAATTTTCCTAATTTCATAGACAACAAAAAACTGAATTTCTACTACATGAAACACGCAGATCTAAAACTTCTTGAAGTCAAGACTTTTTTAAGAAAAGTGACCGAGTAGTATACGTATATACTATAGTTTTGATGACAAAACGATACATTTTTTTAATCTAATTACAATTGAACTAAGTTCTACATTATTGCTAAACGCTCTCTGAAGAATGCATGGGGATAGACAAAAGAAATTCCCTACTGGCGACCATAACTTGCACTCAAGATCAATATTTTCGCCGTGAATCTCCTTAACGCATTGGTCGGTATTCATTTGAATTTCCCCAAGCGAGCATCATCCCATATGGAGCGAACGGTTTTCGGTTGGCGAATGCCAAGGAAAACTTAATATCACGTGCGAATTGTGGAAACTAAATAAGATTTTAATGGTCTTTCAATGTCGCACCCTTCGCACGTATGGTGAAATTTTCCTCAACATGATGATAACCGAAGCTAAAGCTCACCCTCCGCAAATAGAATGAAAATGTGCGGTAGAGTGAAGGCACAATACGTGCTAGACATTTTTAGCGATGTGAATGCATATTCCGTTCACTTTTCGGTGGCTCGGAGCTTGTCTAAATGGAAAACGCCATTTATAGTTTTAGTTCTTGATTGAGAAGTGATGAAGTGAAATTAGTTATTGGTTGAATCGATAAAGGTTGAGGATATTAACCACTTCAAGGGTAATTTCTGCATTTATGATGTCGATTTTGCGATATATGGGTGTTCTCGATCTAACAACACGTAGAAACACGTTGCAAGAACTACGATTGTCGTTGTTCGAAGATGCGAGTGGGTGGACAGTACAGGCTTAGTGGGCTTAGATACAGACTCGGATGCTCATACGAATAAATCATCAGGAGTTCAGTCGTTTTGTCCGCCCAGTGTAAATGTCCAAGTCTCATCGCGAAAATCATCATTAAAATCAACAACATTTAGACTTTGTTTCCAAATCTGCACACGCCATCTTGGACATAAATCCCTATGCGGCCACGTTTAACGGTTTTCAGCATTGCGATTGTTGCATACACCTTCCCGATAAGTCATTTTCAATTTGTCTTCATGTATGAATTATCATTATGCGAATCGTTATGTGAAGATTCTCTGGCCCGATAAGACACGAGGAAAATTATATGGCTAAAATATCCAGCATTCGTTTATACGCGTTTTACTAGGGGGCTTTCCAAGAACTTGAGCGCTTTTATACTCACATTGTTTCGACGTTTTTCAAAATATTTTTACATTATTTCGTTTCTGAGCTCATTTTCATCTTAAGTTTCATCCTGTAGTCTTCGCATTCAGTCATAGCGTCCCATAAATATTTTTATTGTATATGCCAGTAACATGATAAATTGATGGGCGGTCGAAATTTATTACGTGTAATTATTATCTTGTGCGATTTTTATCATCGGCTTTCTCGTCTCGCCTGCAATAAAATATGCACAAGAAGTGAATATTAATTTTTGGGGCGGATTTGCGGCCTAGAGCAAACGAACGCATCTGCTCAATGTAGTTGCCATTCTAGAGACTGTTTTTGAGGCCAAACCTATCAGAAGAAAATCAATAATAAATCATCGACTAGGCAATGATTGGAATTAGAAACAAGCCTAAGTTTGCCAAATTTAAACTAATTTCCACGATTTTCATCTTATCGATATTGGCCAATAATTACAGGGAAACGCCATCCGGTTCACTCAAATGTAGGTTTTGCGATTTACCCGAATAGGGTCAAAGTTGATCCCGACACCTTGATAAGGATCGGGATTAACCTTCGGGACATTTCAGCTCGAAAGTAAGACGAAGGTCCATCTTATCGAGCTTTCATTTGAATGACTCGAAATCTGCCCATCGAATTGATATATAATGAAAGATAATTAGTTTTGATTGCACCTGGTCCGACAACGAAGTACTCTTGAGAGTCCACTAAAAGGATTCTCTCAACTCCAATATGACTAAACTCAATCAAACGTAGCCTCTAATGGAGGAGAAATGCTGAAATTGAAATAAAATTAATTAAACAAGTGGGAAAATGAAAACAATAAATTATTCATGACGCAAACATAATACATGTCTGAATAGTTTGAAATTTTGAGAGCTGTTGACACAAATTAGCTCCGTCGGATAAAGCGCTAAATAAATGATATTTGATTAATTTCGGGCAATTGCAGTGCAGGAATTTTCAACTGAAAATAGTATCCACTCAATGTGTCTGCTTCGGACGATATAGCGGCCCTAATTTATACAAGCCTCAAGCAAACGGCCCAAATGGGGCTTAAAGGGTTAAGCCACAACTTATTCAGCCTCCTTAAATTCGACCGAAAAACAGACTCATCAGACTTCGTGTCAGGTGATTAATTGAGACCCCTATTTATTGTGGGCACCTTTGAGCAACGGTCTGAATCCAATCTCGTTTATTTAGTGTTTAGTGCATTTTTTTCACTTACAAACTTTGTTTGAGCTGTCTAGACGGTCTCTTTGCAGTGTACACAACTTTTCGATTAAAATTCTTGCATTATAGAATAATTGTCCATTGGCTTCAAATGGGGTTCTTTGGGCAACGTACCTACTACAAATTGTCGCCAGATTGATCGTAAATAATTACAAATTGAATGCGGAATATCTATATCTACGTGACCAACTAATTTTGCCTGGGGAATTCGCATGAACTTCGAGGTGGCAGTATTACACATTACATATTCATTGGAATTCGGAATTGGTGGTTTGAAAGCCAATTAGATCACGAATTATTGGATTTATTATTCATGTCGATCGAGGGTTTCACTGGTAATCAAGATCTCGACTGAAAAATAGCGGGTTTCATTTTCTGAAGCTCTTTCTAAGCAATCTTTTAACCAACAATCGAAATTTTGCTTACTGGAAGTTCTAAACGTGTTTATGAGATTGTTTCATTCTATTTTAGAAAATGAAATTTGCATAAAATGCAGAAATTTATGTGGATAAAAGGTAAAATCCACTTCCCTGTTTCCAATTAGCGCGCATTTAGTGAAATTGGCCGCAACATTTAATACATACAGATTAACTTCGGATTTATCTTTGAGCATTGATCACCGCAAATTAACATCGACTATTTGCTCAATTCCTGTTTGGCAACTTCTTTGTTTATATGACAAAAAACGCCTTGTCCATCTTTTCCTCGCTGTTAATTAGCACTTAAACGTACCTGAAAATTTCAAATTAAACCTGATTAAGCGCAATTAGGCGGCAGCATGGCTCTTAGCCAGATTCCTGGTGATTACTAGCCAGGGATGGGGTCGCCAATATCAAAGAACTATAGACAGTTTAGTGGACGAATTTCCAGTTTGCAAACGTGAATTCTGCCTGAACGATTTAGGGTGTAAGACTTTCCGGTCAGCGACCATCCGTTTCCCACTTTCGCAATAATTGATTTCGATAATTCTCAATGCAAATTACGTGTTCATTATTATGCGGAATATCCGGTTTAATGGCAATGCTGAACACAGAAATTATCGGATTTCCATTGTCGATAAATTAGTGGAAAAACTGGATAATGGCTCTCTGCAACGGAATAATGGATGAAAGCAATGGTGTTCAAGTTTTTTGGACAATGCCCTGTCAGCATGTGTGCTCGTATGGTTGTATAGGTACTTACTAGCAGATAAGCCCAATCAGCCGAAAGTTTCACTTTGAAAAATTAATATTTAAGCTACCGTTAAAATATTCGCATTCAAGATGAAAGCAGTCAGCAGATTTGTTTACCATTTAAAGAGCGGTAAAATATGACCCAGGAATCCTATTTGATGGTCTTCATGTAAATGGCTTCGTTTTATGGTTAAATTAGCATTAGGAAGGATTAGTTTTAATGATGCGAGGCGCTGTGGCTTAGGAAAGTTTGAATGCATATAAACTCAGTTAAAGCATTCGGTAAACAACATCCGATTTTTCTTCAAAATTACTAACAGTACGTGCAAATCAGCTACCGAGCTGAGCGATGAGATGCTGGAAGTGGCCAAGCGATGCGAGCGATTCTGTTCGCGAGAGTGCATATAGAATGCGATTTTTTATGGCAGTCTTGACGAATTAGATTTTGTAGCGGTGGAGTGCGTTGGAGTAGGGTGTATCGACAACACTGTACTTATATTTTCTCGACCCTGCTTGACAATGAGTTTTGATTAGCCCCGTCGAGTGTCGAGAATGGATGTAATCCTTTTTTCATGTAAAGACTGTTGAACAGCCAGTGGCATCTCTGTGTTAATACCTGAAGCGACTTACATTTTTTCGTAAACAAATAGTTTCAAGAGACGAAAACTATAAAGTGTGTTCATTAGAATGTGGCCAGATGGCGACAGTGTAAGAGATGTGAGTGACAGGTGTGAGATGGCGCTTAGTGTCCTCTCTCAAATTAGCTCCCACTTAACTAACCTACGAAGAGTATCGCCCAAAGTGCAAATAATTATAAACAATGAACTATTTTTAAGAAACCTTTGCAAATATATACAACGTCCAGCTATTGAGTAACTTGAAACAAAAGCGTGCGTGCGCCTTGTATTGCAACACACAAATTATGCCAGTTTAACAGAAGAAGTTGAGTGGTTTGGTGTGGCACAAAGGAACTGGAACCAGCAGTTAAAATGCAGCAGATCCTCCTTTGGGTTCTGCCCTGTTTGGTTAATGTACTGGCCTACAAGCCTGTGATCCTCATGCATGGAATCCTCACAGGATTCCATAGCATGGAGTTGATCAAAAATCGCATCCAGGAGGTAAGTGTCCAGTTTTACAACCGCTCAAAACCATCCGGGAATATGGTTTGGTAGAAACACCCGGGAACGTTGATCTACAATATCGAAAAGTTTGGAGGCTGGTCCAGTTTGGATAATTTGAACTACCAAGTGGCGCAACTTAGTAGGGACTTGAATAACTTCACTCAAATCCATCCTGGAGGAGTTAATGTGTTAGGTTGAGGGCATTGCTTGTGGTTGAAGTCGCTTAGGGACTGACTGTTAATTTCCAGGCTATTCCCAAGGCGCTCTACTGGCCAGAACCGTCCTGCAAGCAAACCCCAATCATACCGTACACAATTTCATCTCACTAAGCGGCCCACAAGCTGGCCAATATGGAAGTAAGACCACAGTTGATTACTGGTTATTTAACCAATCAATCCAGCTGAAGCACTGACAGTCATCCTGATTTTTCAGCCCAGTTTTTGCACCTGTATTTCCCGGGGTTAGCTTTAGAAACAGCATATGAACTGTTTTATTCTAGAGTGGGCCAGCACACATCTGTAGGGAATTACTGGAATGATCCCTATCATGAACAGTTGTATCTGGAGTTCTCGCAGTTTTTGCCCTACGTGAACAATGAGCTCAGTTGCAATAGGAGTGAACAGTTCAAAGCTGCCATCACCAAGTTGAAGAATCTGGTGTTGATTGGTGGGCCCGATGATAATGTAATCACCCCTTGGCAATCTAGGTATTTTTTCATTTCCAGTCCGTCCAATTAGGTGAACCAATCTCCTCCTTGTCCGCCTAATTGAACTGACAAAACTTTAACTCATTAATGATCATCTTTCTTCTGCTTGGTGGTCGGAGGTTAAAACAGGACTTGATTGCAATGAGAAGTTTTGGATAGCCTTTAAATCTATAAATTGTTCTAGTCAATTTGGTTACTACAATTCCAATGGAACAGTGGTAGACTTTCTGGAACGGGACATTTACAAGGACGACAAAATCGGACTTAAAACGCTCAACCAGAACAAAAAGCTGCACATTATTACCGTGCCGGGAGTGAATCACTTCCAGTGGCACATCAACATGTCCATAGTGGACAATCACATTTTACCATACTTGGATTAACGATCCAAATGGAATGTGGAAGTAATGGAGAGAAAGAAACATGAACAAACAATAATTCATAGTTTACAAATATATATGTTTTGAGATCTAATGTGTTTCTCTTCCCAATTTCATCAATGTTAACATACTTACAAACAATTAATTTAGCGGAAAAAAAAGTGACTACTCCGCCAAAAGGAGCACCTTACACATAGTAATGGGGCTTTTTGATAACGATTCCAAATTCCGCCAGGGCTGGAGTGAGGTCTTCCATAGTCAAACAGTATTTCTTATCTTTAACCCCTTTTGCAGTCTGAAAATAACACAAAAAAATACTTGGAAGTCCGGAACGATGCCCTGGAACAGCCCTTACCTTAGAATTACTCGCATGTGTGGTGTTCGAGTTGGACGTCCTCATTTTACAATGTTGCAGGGCATCATTTGCTACATCCGATATGAACTTCTGAGCCGCAATTGAAATTAGCCTGAGCAGTCGCGGATCTTTGGGCTCAAAACCTGAGGCGCGTATATAGTGGGCGGTAACAGCATCGGGAATCTGAAAAAAAAAACCTTTACTTGACTTTGCTCGGTGGTGTTTTTTTGCTTGAAGTTGACACCCGAGGCGAAGCCGGGGGCATTATGCACGCAGTGGCGGGCCTTCGACTTTTGTCTCGCGTACCTTATCCTATTTTTCTTGATCGTCGGTAGAAACTAGCCGGGAAAAGTATAAGATTTTGAAAATGTCCAAGCTGTCATAGTGCGTGGACGCAATTTGAGACCTTCCATCATACCGATCTTGCACGTGCGAAAATCAAGCCCCCAAAAGAGGGGCAAAAGGATGGCAAATCTGGAGAACTTACCGTCGGGGTGTAATCTTCCAATTGGAGTAAAAAGTCGCTCAGAGGCTGCCCAAGAGTGATGGGCGATTCATCCTCCATGGGTTCGTCTTTGCATTGACTACTCATATCGAACTCAGAAATATTTTCCGGTGGCCAAGTGTTTTCCAACAGATAACTTATAACCTCCAATACATATTTGACACAAATGGCATTGACTTGACGTTTTGTTAAAGTCAAACCTCGTTCGATCGAAAGCTGAGTTGCCAGTTTTCAGACTTCAAACATTTTCCTTTGTTGGAAAATTGACAACTGTCCCCAATTGTTGTGTAACAACAGTGTGAAAAAGTTTGGTTAAGTTGCGTGGAGACAGGGGGCCCGAGAATAGAGCAGCTTTGGAGTTAATAAAGTAAAGTGCGGTAAATAATGGCAGCCACCGTAAGACGCGGACCGCTGGTGCTCCTTAAGAAATATTGGAACGAGCAACCCGAATTAGTCGGGAGTGGGGCAATGGGGATACTGGGTAAGCAGATAATCAGCAACTTTTAGGGATCACCGGTCAATTTCCAAAGTATATTAAACCTAATGAAGTTGTCATTGACAGGATTGGGACTACTAATCTGGGGGGGCTTCAAATACTATGAAAAAGATGGGAATAATCGACGATACAGGGGGCATTATATCGTCCTTCGGCACGATGACCCAGCGGTGCAAAAGCTAAAGATCAGTTGCGATGTTACTTCGAGGTCTTAAAGTCAGGAACACAGTGAATTGTAGTAGTTTCTATTCGATAGTGTTTATATGTACATTTTGGTAAATAAAACTGTCTATTCGTTAAAACAATCAGGCGCTTAAACGAGGACAATGTTTTATAAAAGTAAAAGTGCAGCTTTACTTAAGTTAGACTATATTTTGATTGTTGATGGTGAACTGTCTGCGACCTCATTTATTCATCCTCCCTAAAAAATTTGATAAATCAACGTTGAAGTCAAAGTTGAAGAAACAGTGACAAATCTTAGTACTGGAAATGTTCAGCTCACATTTATGTACATTATAAAACCTATATTCTATAAAAATAAAGACCTTAAGCTCAAGAAACCATTAAATATGTAGTATAAAGAACGTAAGTCCATTTTTAGAAATCTCAGTTCAAATTGGCTCATCTGGCAGCATTTTTTGAAATTCATAACAATGGACCTGGCTTACCAGCTACAGTCTAAATCACATGTCTTGGATAGATAAATGTCTTTTACGAGAGTTTCCGGCAAAGAAAAACGACCGAATTGACCATTTGAAAATAAAGAAAAAATTTAACGTGCGTTAACACCACGAGAAAAAAGGACTTTTGTCTTGGAAGCGTTGCGTGAAGCTGAAAAATCGATGAGGATGAGCCTGCGATCTGCAAAAAAAATAATCTATTAAGAGTGCTTGCTTTTGCCAAAGCAAACAATCATGGACTTGTACCGAGCCTATTAAGGCTTGTGGAGAATATCCAAAACAAGCCACCATTACGTTACCTTTCCACAACAACGGCTGGCATTTGCACCAGCTGAACTGGCGATTTTCCATCTTTGAGCGCCTGAGTCAAGTTCAAAATCTGACCGCGCATCACCGACATTTGCCTTTCGTACAGGGTGCGATCGAAACCCTTATCCTGCTTGAACAAATGATGCAAATCTTCGCACAAATCCTGCAACAATACGTTAGAGTCCGGTCACTTTGGTTACATTGATAACTTTTTTTACTTGTTCTTAGATTTATTTTAAGGGGCATTTATTAATAATATTTTTTTAATTTCTTCAAAATATTTTATTTTCCAGTTACTCTTTCTTCGAAATGCTCAATTTTCTCAATCAATCAATAAACGAACGAAGAATAAGCGAAAGTTTATAACAGATTATTTGGTAATCTCGTCACCTCCAAACGATGCCAAAACGAATTCTCTGGCTCGAATGGTTCTTGAGAAACTTCGAAAAAAGCAGCGTCATGTTCAAGTGGATTTTGCAACTCAAAAAAA